GTAGCCGGTGGCACAGGAGCAGTTGCAGCGGGTGGCATGGGGGGGATGGTGGTGGGTGGCACAGGAGCAATGGTGGTGGGTGGCACGGGGGTGATGGTGGCCGGTGGCACAGGGGCGATGGCGGCGGGTGGCACAGGGGTGACGGTAGCCGGTGGCACAGGAGCGATGGCGGCGGGTGGCAGGCGGGCGAGGACGGCCCGCGGGAGGCCCGCGAGGTGGTGGCAGGCGCGGGAGCCGAGCAGCAGGTAGAGGCAGGGGTTGAGGCAGCTGCTGAGGTTGAAGACCAGCCCCAGCAGGTAGAGGAGGTGGCTGGGGACGCCGGGGACCACCAGCTCCAGCAGCTGGGTGACCTGGAAGGGCAGATTGAGCAGCGCGTAAGCGCTCAGCGTGGCCACCACGATGCGCTGGAAACGGACGGGCGGGCGGCCGATTTGGCCGCGCCGGCACCGGGCCAGCGCCAGGGCGGTCCCGTGGCAAGCGAAGACCACGCTGAAGGGCAGCAGCCCCTCCACCACCACCTCCAGCCAGCGCATCGGCACCTCCCAACTCCCCCGGTTCCTACGGCACACCACCAAACCGGGCAGCGGCTCGACCACCCACGACAGCGCCGCGTCCGGCACGCTGCAACCGCCCGCCGCCAGCCAGGCGGCCACGCACAACGCCGCCGGTAAACGGGCCGGCCGCCGGCACCGATACCAGAGCGGGGCGGCTACCAACAGGCAACGGTCCAGGCTGATGGTCGCCAGCAAGAAGAGCCCGCTGTAGTAGCCCAAGCCATAGAGGTACTGGTGGAGGCGGCACAGGGGGGTGCCCAGCAGCCACTGCTGACCGTGGGCCACCGTCCAGATCTGCAGGACCGAGTTGGCGAGGAAGAGGAAGTCGGAGGCGGCCAGGCTGAAGATGAAGGTGGCCAGTCCCCGGCACCGCAGGCGCCAGCCCGTCAGCCAGAGGGTGAAGGCGTTGGCCGGCAGCCCCAGCGCCGCGCAGGCCACCATCAGCTGCCCGTCCCATGGCAGGGTGCCGGGGGGCAGCAGGGACAGGGTGGGGGGCAGCGTGCCATTCCGCGGCTCCATCGCCCGCGCTCCAGCCCTGCGGGCAGCACGGGCGGCTCAGGGTTGCGGGAAGGGGTGTCCCCCCCTCCCCTGTCACCCCCCCTCTCGTGTCACCCCATCCTGCAGCACCATGCCATCGCCCACCCAGGCACCCCCCCTGAGCCCCCTGACTCACTGCAGACTGGCTTTCTCCTGCCCTGCCCTCATTTCAGGGTGCCCCCGCACCCCCCGCCATGGCCTGTGGCATCCCTGTCCCCTGCCAGCTGTGCCACCCCATGCCCACCGAGTCCATCGTGCCCCAGCTGAGCCCAGGGATACTCCACCAGCCCCTGCCCCGGGGCTTCAGGGCAGTAAATAGTGTAGGACCTACCTTAATGGTGGGGAGAGCTCAGCTGGAGGCGTCGGGTGGGGGGGTACCCGGCTGTGGGGTGCCCTATATGTGGGAGGGGCTGCAGTTTTGAAGCTTGTCTACTTGTCTCCCCCTCCAGCTTCTCCCCTGGCAGTGACACACACCCCCGCCAAAATCTCTCAGCCTCGCTGGCACTGACCCTGTGCCTGCGGGGGGCCCTGGGGGATAACTCCAGCCCTGCCTCAGTTTCCCCACGTGGTGTCGGGAGGGTGTGTGGGAAGTCCGCTGCCTGCTGCCCATTATCAGGCAGGGCAGCTGCTGCAGGCAGGGAGGAAGTGACCCCGTTATTGCTGCAATGGGACGGTGACACGGGGCAGGGGGGGCAGCCGTGGGGCAGGACCCCTTTTCACCTGTGACCACCCAGTGCTGGTCCCTGTGGGGCATCCAGTTGGGGGGTCTGGGGCAGAGGGGACACCCCCGCCCAGGGTGGGGGGCACGGGGACACGTCGCGGCTGTGCCAGCGGGTGCGTGTGGGGACCGGTGCGGTGGCATCTCCGCGATGGCATCTCCCCACTGTCCGCTGGCTTCCTGCTGCCACCCCCACGGCGGATGCTGAGCCGGGC